GAATCCAACGTCTTTTCATCAACATAGTGCGTTGGGACTTGAACCCATTGTCTTACCCTCAATTTTTGGCATAATAGGCAAAAATTCACTAAGACTCGCACTCGAGCCTTTAAAATATTATTACTTCATAATTATAGGCATAAGTAAATTAACTTTCAAGAAGACATATATAACTATTTCAATCTTGAAACAGTTCCTCTGCAACAAAAATGCTAGTTAGAATATGTGCCAATTTTGCTTTCAATGAAATACATCATGTTATGGTAAAAATATTAGTATTAAATTACCTTAATAATTATCTATCATAGTATGTAAAAGGTCAAAACATATATATATGTTGAAATATTATCTTTGTCCTATAAGAGATGTAGCAAATAAAGATATACCTTTCCAGTTCTTTATTTTACTGGATACAATTGAAAAAAATATTTTTACTAAACACTGCACATAAAGTTAATGCAAAGATATGAAAGTATGAATGAGTTTAGATGGATGTAAAACTTATCTCTGTATTATCATCCAAGACATTTTTCATTGTACTTGATCTCATTGTCTGCTTATAATTTACATAGTCTTGACGTAGAAGATCATGAAATGAGCAAGTCGTGCTGATAACGTGTTATAAAATAAAAGCAACTTAGTAAAACATGAATAAGACATGTTATGAAATAAAAGCAATTTAGTAAAACATGAACAAGAAATGGAGATAGAGAGAAGAAAGAGATTTTCTTCTTCAATTGTGTGTATTTTCCTATCTATTATAAGGCCTTTATATAGGCATGAAAAGTGAAGAAAAATATGTCATTGAATATGTCATTAAGCATTTGAGAAGATCATGGAGGAAGAGTAGACATCCATCATAATTTGATTTTTCTTATAACAAAGTACACTTTTTCTACTTGAAAAAATCTCTTGGTTTCGACTTAGTATTTGATGGCCTACCACTAAATAGTGGGTTGGTAAGTAACAAAAGTTAGGTTTATAATTCTTTGGCAAATGCCCTTATCATTGTGCCACCACCAAGAAACTGTTGTTTACACTTGTCTCGATGAGTTTGAAGCACGAAAGCATGGAATAGTCACTAAAAATTGAAAAACAAGTGTGTTTAAATCAAAAAAATCTGGACAGATGGAGACTCATACTAAATAAACTGATGTATCATACTCACTATGACTCATTGCTAAGACTTAAGAGGGCACTCAAATCTTAGTGTTGGTAAAATCACACTTGAGAAGAAGAATCTATGATTTCAATCATTAGTTCTCTTTCCTGACATGTCAGAGTGCATCATGCAGGATTCGGGAAAGGATCAAGTCCAAAAGATGTAATGTAGACATTATATTAATATAAGTATTAGTGACTGTTTTCACAATTCGAATTCGTAACCTCATACGTAAATAATTTTACCGTTGTTTGACTAGGAGTGAAAACGTTATGCATAAAATTGAGTTACTCGATTTTTGAAGGAAAAGATTACCATTATTGTTTTGATTTGTTAACAACTAGAGTCTTGTGAAATTAATGATGATAGCACATTGGGGACAATGATGCAAGAAAGTACTACTAATGGCAATTATAATCACCGAAAGCAGGTTACCCATGGCGCGTGCTTCCGCCTCTATGTATTCTTTATTTATGCACTTCTACTAATGCTATAAAATTAAAGAAACAGGTGTAGCTTGTAGTTTTGGTTTAAATATTGTATTTATCTTAGAAATTATTTAATGTATATAAAATATTAATTTAGAACTCAATAAGTCAAAGGGATTAAAATTTCGAATTATAAGTTTCAAATCACGACTTTGATACGAAGAAGTGATTCTTTTAGTACATTTAGTATATCTCTCTCTTTTTTAATTTTCTTCTTGTAAATTCAAGAAGTTGGCTTTGGTAGGTTAAATTGCAGAGTTTTTGAGTAAGCTCCCAAATATTCTCTATCCTTTGATTCAACTGTTGTCATTTTATTCACACAGATTGGAGAAACAATTTGCACAATTATTTTGAGAGATAGTATTATCAAGCAGGAGCTGCTTCTTTCCTTGAAGGAGTAAAGACTATCTCCATACACTTTATTTTTGGGGTAACTTCCATACACTTCATTCTAACTCATAACCAATTTATGGTGAAAACGTGTCAATATAATGACTATAATTCAGGTATTTCATCATCTATAGTGGTTCAGCCCACTAGTAAACCTGAATTCATAGGACTTCACACTTGTTCACATTATACAAAAAATGAGAACTTTAAAATGCTGCGTAGTTTCTTCTGCGAGAGCATTCCATATAAACAAAGTGCATTTACCTCATACAAAGAGTACCATAGCATTATAGCAATACGTCGGATTACTACTTTTTGAAGCAACATATATTGATACGATTAAAGTTTATATACACGGAAAATGTAAAACTTTTTTAATACTTCAAATGTTATTTAACTTATAGTAATATAAGGCTATCTGCTATATTTTCCGGAAGATGAGATCATACAATAATTATAAACAGCACATATCATTACAGGTAATTTAACTTGATAATGTAAAAATATTATTCTCTTTGGTCTATTTTAATTGATTTTTTGGTTTATTTTTTGTGCTCCACAATATTTGATTTTTCCAGATATCAAGAAGGAATTAACTACTTTTTTTCAAAATTGCCCTTGGAGTAAAGAATCTAGGAGTATTTGTTGTATTTTCAATAAATCAATTAATGTTAATATGTTCAATTTCATTGTTAATTAATACTAAAAGATGAATTACTTATTATGTGTGAAAACAGTCAAAACAAATTAATTAAAATAGACCGAAAAAAGTAACTGCAGAGTTAGAAGTAGGTAATAAGCAGGAGAATTTTTGGACAATGTGCCGGGGTTGGACGCGTGTTGCTCCATACTGAGATGAACTAGTGACTTTGGTTATTGGTGGCACACCATAATCTTGGCAATGATAGTTTGAGGTAATTAAACATCATGCGCTACTACTTTAACCAAACTCTTTTATTAAATACTCTATAATATTTTACCAATGCCTTTTCTATAAATTGAGCCAATGCTAAGCCAACTGCAGCTCATCCCAAATTCATTCCTTCAACTCCTTCTCTATTCAGTGAACAACAACTGACAATGGAGAGAACATCAAAACTTGTGCTTGTCACAGTACTAGTGCTGCTTCTTTCTGAAGCACACATCTCATTTGCTGCCACATGCAGTCCAGTTCAGTTGAGTCCTTGCCTAGGTGCTATCAGATCATCAACACCACCATCTAAACTCTGCTGCAGCAAGATCAAGCAACAAAAGCCATGCCTCTGCCAATATCTCAAGAACCCAAATCTAAAGAAGTATGTCAACTCTCCTGCTGCCAAGAAAGTTGCTCGCACTTGTGGGGTTCCATACCCCAGATGTTAAAAGAAATAAAGAATTACACTTCCTATATTGATTAGGGAGTGAAACCTGAGACTATATTTCATATGAACCTATCAACATTAATATCTCTCTTTTCATGTTCAGTGCGCTCTTGAATGAAAAGAGATGAATTCTATCTGCTTTGTTCTAATTTTAGTACTCTCTGTCTGCACCAGTCCTATACTAGGTGTTCTACTATTTACATGAAATAAAAGTACGGAATAGCAGTATTTATCTAATTGGTCCTCGTAATCTTGGCTGTCACTTGGAATGCAAATATATTGCTGTATTAACTTATTAGTTTTCAGCTCGAGTTTCAGTTTTAGTATGCATCTGCTCTTATATTTGCTATAATAGTCATTCTCTTGCTGGTATGGAGAAAATTTACGATCTCACCATATCGTGTACAAAAGTCTTTTGCCAAAATAAAGCATAGCAAAAACAAAATGAGAGAATAATGAAAGAGAAAAAAGCTGATGTAAGCTTAAGAGTCAGCCAACTCGTTTAATTCTGCAAATTATAATCTGATAGAGAGGGACATTTCAATTGGATATTTCACTGAAAAGGTGACTGTTAGTGAGAAGCAAATACTTCATGCTGTTCTGAATTTATCAGTCTCATCACACAGTTAAAGACGTGGAACAACTTGGAAGGTCAAATAAGGAGACTCATCTACATGTAATTAAATACAGTTTATTTATAAAAGGATTTGGAGTTGTTAAAGATGAAGAAGGTCAGAGATTTGGCTCCAGCCAACAAACAATAGCCATTTTATGTGCTCAAGAATGATACAGCTTATGCTCATTAAGTACCATTTATTCTCATTAAAGCAGAAAAAAGCAACATTCTTTACTCCTTCCTCATATACGGCTTTCGGTTATTGTAACGAACCGACCGGTAGTTTTGAGAATTTGCGTCTCGTTCAATGACTTAAGATCTCGAACAACTTCGTATTATATATTATGACATGCGCGTGTAGTCGAGTTCGAATTTCGGATGATTCGGGATTGATATGGAAGTAGGATTCTTGCTTTAGAAGCTTAAGTGGTAAGAGTTGACTACAGTTTGACTTTTGTGTAGACGACTCCGGATTGGTGTTTTGATAATTCCAATAGTTTCGTATGGTGATTTTAGACTTAGGTGTGTGTCCGGATTTGAATTTGGAAGTCCGTAGGTTAATTTGATGCATTCGGCAAAAATTGGGAAGTTGAAGGTTTGGAAGGTTGAGAGATTTGACCGGGAGTTGACTTTGTTGATATCGGGTTCGGATTTCGATTCCGGGAGTTGGTATAGCTTCATTATGTCATTTGAAACTTGCATGCAAAATTTGACGTCATTCTGGGTTGATTTGATATGATTCGGTGCGAGTTGTAGAAGTTGAAAGTTCATAAGTTCATTAATTTGTTTCGAGGTGTGATTCATAATTTTGATGTTATTTGACGTGATTTTAGGCCTCGAACATGTACGCTTATGTTATGGAACTTGTTGGTATGTTTCGATGGGATCCCGGGGGCCTCGGGTGTATTTCGGATGGGTTACGGGCTATTTTCTCATGTTTTGGATTGCTGATATGATATCTGGTGCTCCTGTATACGCGATCGCGAGGTTCAAGCCACATTCGCGTAGCACGTTCTTGTGATCGACCACTTTCCTTCTTCGCGTTCGCAGTGAGTGATTCGCGATCGCGTAGTTGTGAGTTTTCCTTAATCGCGTTCGCGTTCCTTCTTTCGTGTTCGCGTAGTGCTTTTCGTGGGGCAACATTATTTCTTCTTCACGTTCGCTTCTCCCTTTTCGCGTTCACGTAGCACATTTTTGGCAGCTGATATTTTCTTCTTCGTGATCGCATATGAATTTCCGCGATCGCGATGCATGTTACCTCGGAAGAAATATAAAGAACTCTATTTCGAGGGTTTGGCCATTTTTATCATATTTGGAGTTGTAGACCTCGGATTTGAGCGATTTTTAAGGGGTTCTTCACGTGTTGGATTGGGGTAAGTGTTCTTTACCTGAATTTGATTTTATTTCATGATTTCATATTTATTTTTATCATTAAATTAGTGGTTTGAGTTGGAAAAAAATGGGAATTTTGTGAAAACTTTCAAAAACATGTTAAATGATGTCGGAATTGGATAAATTTGATATAGTTGGACTCGTATCGGAATAAGTGTTCAGATTTTATGAATTTTATCGGGTTTCGAGGTGTGGGCCCGGGGTTAACTTTTTGGATTGACTGTTAAGTTTTAATTAAAGATCGAAGCTTTATCTGAAATCGTTTTCTATTAGTTTTATTTATGTTATAAAGTTATTTTGGCTAGATTTGAGCCGTTCGGAGGTTGTTTCACACGAGAAGGTCATTTTAGAGTATCAGTCTAGCTTATTTGAGGTAAATATCTTGCCTAACTTTGTGGGGAGGAACTACCCCTTAGGATTTGAGTCGTTTGTGCTATTTGTGTCATGTGAAAGTCGTGTACGCGAGGTAACGAGTACGTTCTCGGCTTATATGCGAAAATCTATCGGTTTAGACCCTTAGGCATCTTTTATGTACTTATTTGGAATTGTTAGCACATGTTATACCTATTATTCGTCATGTCTACTATCACATGCTTTATTTGAAGTTGTCGTTATATGTCACATTCTTTACTTGTCGAGTTTGCTCTTATATGCTTTATTTGGAGTTGTTACCACTTTTACTATTACGTGATTTCTTTTAGCGTTGAGTTGCTCTTCGTTGAGATTATTGTTACATGATATTTCTTGTTGCCGGTTTATTCTCATGCCTTTAGACGAAGTACTAGCTCGTGTCATCTCTTACATTGTTAGCTTAATTCATACACTAGAATTTGGAGTTACCATTCATGTAGACACTTTCATTATTGAGTTTATCCTTAAATAATTAATTGGAATTGAAGTTATCGAGAGTCATTAATCTATTTTAATAAAAGTTGTGTTTAATTAAAGGAGGTGTTGTTCCTTGTTGAGTTACTTTTCCGTTTATTTTGTTGTTATTGAGATTCTATATACATTGTGTTGAGTCGTGGGCTATTGGTTGTGAAAACATTGATATCGTTGAATCCTTGGAAAGGTTATGGCCTACGTGCACTTGTGATACGGGTGGCATGTTGTGTTGTTGTGATGATAGCACGTGTGAATTGTTGTGTGGTTTGATTGTTGTTATGCGGAGTATAAGGATGGCATTTCACCATTATTGTTATATGGGGCATAAGGATGGCATCTCATTGTTGAATGTACAGAGTGATACGGGATGTCTATTGTGTTATTGTTCGGGCGGGGAGATAATGGTGGCTATTACACGGAGTGATACGGGTAGGTATCAAACGGAGTGATATGGATGGCTATATGAGAGATAAGGGTAGCTAATGATATTATCAGGGCAGAGCGATACGGGTGGCTATTGGAGAGATAAGGGCGGCAATGTCATGGATGATGTGTGATGGTAGGAGACATTGTGTTGGTGATTTTTGTGTGATGGTGAGATTTTCCTTGTGTTTATCATACATCTTGCGTGGCTTGTTTGGTTTTTTCGATGAGCTATTCGATTTTCTTGATATTACTTGTTAACTTGGGTTGTAGTAGTACACTCGCACAAATATACACTGTAGCATGCCACTTATACTAGCTCATGAGCACGAAACTTGACATTTATTGACCATGCCCATGTGTCCTTGTATTATCTGTTCCATTTTGATAATGAGCCTGTGAACATGTCGGGCGGATTATGATTTGGAGCCTGTGATTATACCGGGCGGATTGTGATTGTGAGCGTGTGACCATGCGGGCAGATTATGATTGTGAGCATGTGACTATGCCAGGCGGATAGTGAATGTGAGCCTGTGATCATGCCGGGCAGATTGAGATTGTGGCACATGAGTTGTCTTTGCAGTTGTGATGCGAAATGTAGGCACGAGGTGTCATGAGTATATGATGGTAGTTGAGATCTGTGACTTATGACTATGAGATGAGGTACCACGGAGTGATTTTGTTGTGAAACATGTGTTAGAATAACTTGATTAATTGATTGTCCTTTGAGTTCCCTTATTTGGTTTCAATGATACTTTGCGGTGTTCTTATTGCTTTACTATTTATATCACTTGTTGGTTCTTGTTTCCATTTACTGATTTTCGCTTTCCGTTATTAGTTTTATACTTCTATACTGCATAGGTTATTATGTATGGTGAGTGCCTTGACTTGTACCTCGTCACTACTCCACCGAAGTTAGTCTTGATACTTACTGGGTACCGACCGTGGTGTACTCATACTACACTTCTGTATATTTTTTTGTGCAGATCCAGGTACTTCGGAGTCTGTTAGTTGTTAGATAGCGGATCAAAAACTACTATGGAGACTTCAAGGTATAACTGTCGTTGCGTTCGCAAGCCTCGCAGTCACCTTCGAAAGTTATTTTTGTACAGTTTATTTCTATTTCGGAACAATTATACTTAGAGATTTTCATGTGAACTCAGTAGAGCTTATGACTTGTACAATCGATTTTAGGATGGTAAGCTTTGTATAGAAATTTCTATTTCATATTTAATAGTTGTTGGTTGAATTTTGCTATTAATTTAGTAAGTGTTAGGCTTACCTAGTCTTAGTGACTAGGTTCCATCATGACATCCTGCGAAGGGAAATTGGGGTCATGACAAGTTGGTATCAGAGCTCTAGGTTCATAGGTGCTATGAGTCATAAGCGAGTTTAGTAGAGTCTTGTAGATCGGTACGGAGACGTTTGTACTTATCTTCGAGAGGCTACAGAACTATTAGGATAAATCTCCACTTCTTTCATTCATGTCTTGCGGATTTGTTGATTTCAAAGTTTGAGCCTTTGTATCTCTATTCTCTCACAGATGGTGAGGACAACTGAGCAGACATCTGCGCCCCCTGCTAGAGCCATGAGAGGCTGGGGCCGAGGTAGAGGGCGAGGAGGGGCACGCACCGCAGCTAGAGCACTTGTCAAAACAGCAGTTGAGGAGCCGCCAGTCGCTCTTGTTGGGGGCAGGCGCCCGGAGGTGCCTGTTGTTTCCCCGGGACTTCAGAAGACTTTAGCACAGTTCCTGAGCATGTTTGGTATATTGGCTCAGGCAGGATTGATCTCCGTTGCGTCAGCTACTTCGCAAATTGGGGGAGGAGCTCAGACTCCCACCGCCCGTACTCCAGAGCAGCGGGCTCACATTGGTCAGGTTCCGGGTTTAATGCCAATACAACCTGTTATTCCAGTTCAGCCTGAGGTCAGGCAGGGGCATCAGAGGAGGAGCAGAAGAGGCTTGAGAGGTTCAAGAGGTATAGTCTACCTACTTTC